TTAAAAAGAAAGATGTGAACCTGTATTTAAAATACATAGTATCTCATCTTAATGTAAAATGTGTCAACCACCCATTCTGAAAACCTGTGCTAAATGATTTTCTTTTATTAAGAACCCCACCCCCCGTATTATAAACAAAAGTAAAGGAAGAAGCACTCAGTGCCCAGAAGAGTGTGCTGTAACTTGCAAGAACTACTCGATTCCTCATCACTCCCACTACTTTTTTTTAAACCACAAACCTGTATCGTAGACTTAAGATGTTAAATATTCAAAGTGATGCAGTCACAAGATCTGTCCTTGCGTTCCCCAGCCCTATATGGCATTCTCTCATACTACACAGGCTCTTGTTCTGCATGTCTCTGGCCAAGACAAATGCTAAATGTTAATTCCAAATGACCAAGAGGAATCAAACTGGCAATATCCAGAATTCAGAAAGAGTTGGCTGGCCCAAGCTTTTTGAAGTTCAAGGTAGGCTGCAAAGCTAACAGCTGAGTCACAGGCCTCACTTGTGATCAGTTAAGCAAGACCCTGCTTTAAGTAAACCAAAGGTACCAGCACAGCTTTAACCGTTTGGAATCCACAGCCACAGCTACACTGAGCAGATGAATATCTAATCATGAATGGTGCAGGGTGACTTCAGATACCATGGGGTGTGTCTGTGGGAAATACCTGTCAGAGAAGATTATATGGCCATTGATGCTTAGGGCAACAGACACAATCGCTCAGTTGTGAAAGAAACAAATAGCAACATGCTGGACAACATCCACAGCTGTATGGGCGCTTTTCTACAAATAGCGAACCCTGAACCACACAGATTCTGTGTGGTGGGCAGACGAGCAACAACGCAGTGAAATGTATTCAAGGGTTTCTAAACCTTTGAATCTTCAGTGATCAATACTGTCGTGTTGGTTAGGCTTGGGATCTACTTTTTAGCCAGGCTGAAACCAGAGTCTAATTTGGATAAAGGAAGCTGGGGTCAAATATCAGCTTCCATGTCTTGTTAATAGCAAGTACCATGTACTGCAGTATACTGCTTGCTAAAAACCTTGGACATTTTGGCTAGCTTAAATTTTAAGATCTTCACTTTCTAACATCCAGAGAGGTGCCCCAGTGGTTGCTGGCCATATATTTTTCTTCAGACTCTTGCCATTCAGGTACCGGTATTTCTTTTTCATTGCCTGCTGCCGGCGTGCATTGTACAGTTTTCATTCTGGCCTTTCGTATAATGATATCAGTCATGAAAGAGAGCAAGATTGGCCGTGCTCTAAATATACATGTACTTTGCACTAATTCAGGCCAAACTGGTACGATTTATGATTTTTTTCCCCTCCTTCTGTGACAAAATATTTGAGACACCCATGATTGTTTCTCTGGATGGAATGGAAGCAAAAGCTGACACTGAGCTCTTCTTTTCACACGTCTTAAGCTGCTTATCTCCTGTGCTGAAACTGTCTAAAAATGAAACTTGTTAAGAAAATTGGGTTCTGGAATTCAATCTTTTCCCCCCAGCTTTTGTTACCAGGGCCCCGATTGGAAGATTCTCCTGGGATATTATTTACCACCTCGCTTTCAGTTCTTTGAAGACATGTGATTTCCATTGAGAGACATTTTATATGACACCCTCTTTCTGACTCCAGCTTGTACTTAACTCCCTTGATCTGATGTATTGACTAGCTGAGGACGGTGGGGTGGAAAGGAAACGCTCAATTTTTATTTTCCTTTCAGTCTTTGGGAAGGAGAGGGAACTGGCAGAGCTCTTGTCAATCTCATGAGAGTAGGCACTCCACTGTTTTCATTGGTCCATCGTGGAAGGGGCTGTCTGGAGGGGTTAAGCAGCCAGTATCCAGGTTGCAACTACTATGGAGGGCAGTGACCACTGACTGAAAGAGGAGGAGAATTCCTGCCACAGCACACAGGAGACAGTTGGAGACAAGACGTTTACTTTCAAACTGCAGCAGACGAACTAGACAGCACCACTTGAGCCAGCACAAGTTTGAAAACAAAACTTTTGTCATGGAACAAGGAGCACTGGGCAGTGGTCTCAGGCAGAGGTGGGTATTCAGCAGCTTCTGACCAGTTCTAGAGAACCGGAAGCAGAAATTTTGAATAGTTCGGAGAACCGGTAAATACCACCTCTGGCTGGTCCCGCCCCCATCTATTCTCTGCCTTTTGAGTCCCAGCTGATTGGAAGGAAATGGGGATTTTGCAGTAACCTTCCCCTGGAGTGGGGAGGGAATGGAGACTTTACAGTTCCCCTGCCACGCCCACCATGCCATGCCCACCAAGCCACGCCCACAGAACCGGTAGTAAAAAAAACAATTTGAATCCCACCACTGGTCTCAGGATGGTTGAGGTTCATGCAGTGCATTGAGAAATACTCAGTAGGCTGTTCTTGAGCCAGGATAAGACGGACATGTGTAGGACATTGTGTAGGAGATAGCTTACCTGTTAGGAAAAATTATTCCGTAGATATATTATATCGAAAGGGGAAGGGGGGGGGGTTAGGATGGATGTATGAAATTGGATGGGTTACAAATGTTGCTTTTGGTATTTGATAGATTATTTATTTATTTATGATTCACATCTCTAAAGTGGACCAACTTCAGAATGACGCTGGGTGGCAAGCAGAATTAAAACCAATGATATAAAACATCAAACAGAATAGAAAAGAAAAGAAAACGGAGATCCTGTTGAAACAAACATTCCACCAACATTTGAAAAATCCTTCATAATGGCTCACCTTGTCAATCTGCCTTTCAAACTGCCAGGGTTTACAGATGATCTGCAGTAAGACAACCCTCCTCAGATCCTCTGCCTGACATACCCAGTCCCTAAAGAACATGTCTGCATCTTTATTATATTATTTTTTTTCATTTCTGACAAGTTTTAAATATTTAAAATTTGAGTAACCAATCCTAGCTTCTACTTACCTGAGGTGTGCACATGCAGCAACATTAATAAGTCTACAGAAAACTCTAACCATGATCCCTCCACATATGTTGGATTGCAACAATTTCCAGGCAATTTTGATCTTTGTAAATTGTGGGGGGAACTGAGTTTGCATATGTTTTCATTTGTTACTGCAATCACTCTTCCACAAACAACTGTGACTCAAGATATGTGGTTTGAAGTACTATCATCTCCCCATTTTATAAACTAAAATTCCAGATTCAGCCAAATTATTTAAAGAAGCCAACAAAAGTTTCTGTCACTGTATAACCCTATATCAAATAATATATTTAATATATGGATCCCCATTTATGACAGGAAAAAGCATCCAAATTTCCCAATTGGTTTGTCTCCTTAGCAAGGAAGAGGAAAGCAAAGGTAATACTATCCACCTCATTCACTGCAATAGAGGGGGAAGAAGAAGAATTATCCCCAGTATGATAACCCTCCAGATACTCAGAATTAATTAATTAGATGTACGGTATATGGCTGCCCATATCAGAGGTGGTGCATTTTACGTACACATATTCCCAGTGTCCTAAGGACTGAGATAAAACATAATTGTTTGGCAATATATTTCTTCTCAGAAGTAACAATTGACAACATGTTTATGAATAACATGACATAACAATTAGCAAGCTAGTTAAGTGTGATCTGAATAGGATGACAATGAATTGGACACATAGTTGACTTTGAAAATTAGATTCAGAGATTGGCAGCTTCTCCTGAAATCAGAGGAAGGTAATAGGAATAGAATAGAATAGAATAGAATTCTTTATTGGCCAAGTGTGCCTGGACACACAAGGAATTTGTTTTTGATGCATATGCTCTCAGTGTACATAAAAAGACAAGATACATTCATCAAGAATCATAAGGTACAACACTTAATGATAGTCATAGGGTACAAATAAGCAAACAGTACAAATCAGGAAACAATCAATATCAGTATCAAGAAAACTGATACAGGAATTAATTTTGCAACCNTTTTGGCCTGTGCGGAAGTAGATAGGCTCACTCTTGAACTTAAAAATAAAGGGATATTTTGAAGTCTGGAACTGACTTTATTATTGGTATAAGACAAGGTGACAAGACTTGAACAAACTGTAAATAATGTGATTGGATAGAAGGATAGATAATGTATTAAGTAGGCTAATAGTTAATGGATGAGATAATTTGTATATAATTTGATTGTATGGTCACTTCGACTTCACGGTACTGCACTGTTTTAAATGTAAAAACTATAAAAATATATTTCACAAAACCCTTGTACTGTGATTCCTAAAACAGGCATAATATATTTACGTATATTTTGAAACCTTACTAATCTCTCAATAAAACCTAGTCTTATCCATTCCTCACCTACCAAAATATATTGACTGAAAATCTTGGCAAGTGAAAGATTGTCCATCTTTGATTTACAGAATGATGGTGAACTGACAATAATTATGATATGTGGCTATTTTTAATAATTATGTCTCAGATATATAACTGAGATAATCATGTAAAAAGCAATGTAAAAATCATTTAAAATAATGATAAAGTTAACATATTTAAAACAGTGTATGAGCAATTTTTTTCTCCATCAAAACGTATTGAGTTCAGTTTACATTTTCTATACCCGCTTATCTGAAAGTAAACACCATTGGACATATTTTACCCATTTAGAAAATTTATGCTGCTGGACATCCTACATATATAATCCTAAGTAGCTAACAACAATCCATAAAAAATGCAGTAAATAATAAAGGATCTATCAATAAAATACAAAATAGGCTTTCAAATGATCATAACAGAACACCAAAGCAGCATAACAGAGTTGCAACCAAAATCAACATCGGTTCTGAAAAGATATTCTTAGAATTGTACCAGTAGTTATGTAAAATAAGTAGATAAATGGATAAACATTTTAAAAATAAGCATCCTTCCTTTGTTCAGATTAGCTCAATGGACAACTATAAGACCAACTATTTAAAGCATTATTTCACAATTTAACATTAAAACTATAGCAAATAGCATAAGTATCATTTAAAACTCAGTTACAGTTAAAACCAGTTTTAAAAAATAACTATTTATAATACAAATAATATTATAATTTTCTATTTTTAATAAACTTATTATAGCCATTAACTCACAGACATAATTCTACTAGGAGGAAATTCCAAAGGCGGCTGTCCCTGGTTCCAAGTTAGTTTATTTCTGACAATCCTGAGAAGATAAAAGAAGACCTCTGAAGATTCATTCCATCATGGTCAGGTTTGTAAGGAACAAGGCAAACTCTCAGATATACTCTCGACTGGTATGGCTGTGTGATTTTCGTGTATTTTAATTATGTGTACTGTTGTTTATGTTCCCTTTCCCCTTTGA